GTTTGTTCCACCCAGCAGCAAAATCCACAACTACTTCGGGCTCCATAAAGATAAATATACACTAACCTTCATCACGAATAAGTAGAAACGCAAATCTGCGACACACACACACGATCAAAACATAGCTGACAAGCTCGCACGTCCATGTGCTCGCCAACCACAGACCATATGAAAATGAGGAAGTAGTGCGAACGCGAACCTAGTTGCGCCGAAAAAAAAAAAACGTCGAGCAGTGGCAGCACAGGCGTCAGCGCAATAATTTCAATGTGTTGTCCTAATACAATTATAAAAAAAAACTGGGGTACACTAAAACTCTTAAATAATATAAAAGTTGAGTGTAATTTTTATTTAGTGCTAGTCAACATAAACACGGAATAAAAATTATTTTGTAACTTAGATCGTTTGCTACACCAGCGCCACACTTGTCGTGCGGGCGCAGAAGGCGCAGATTTGTCATTCTGCCCTCAAACTACACGGTGAAGCGTGCTACTAAGTGAATGGCTGATGAGAAACGCGTCTGGGTCCGCTTTTTTTTTTTCTCCGATATATCTGGGCGGGGGGGGGGGGGGCTCCTTATGCACGTGTTTCGGTGCTTGATCGACTTTGACGCCCTTACTTCGCGGACGAACGGCGTGTCTAGGCTTTTTTTATCGTTGTTTTGCACGTGTTTCGGCGTTCGGTCCGCTTTGACGTGCCAACTTTCCATTCTGCTGCTGCGTGTGTTAGGTATTTGCCGTATTGTATTCTCAGGCCTTCTGTGTTCAGCCAGCGCTGCTATCTTATTATCTACGGATGCTAAAATAAATCACTGTTTTGGTTTGGTGAAGTTTGGCACACAGAACAAACAATAATCTGGCCGATTAATATCAATGTGGGCGGCATGCATATTTGTGTGCGGTGTCCTGCCGGGGAGTAACCGTTGCGTGACGAGAGCATTTACAGCGGTTCCTCCTTCCGTTGCTCCCTTACAAACTTAAGATGAATACAGTTGCTCCCCCATTCTCGAACAAGTCGGCCATCTTGTTCCGCTTGGTCTTTTCGGAGAGTAACAGTCGGTCTGAAGGAGTAAAAACAGCCGTTGCTCCCATTTTGGCCATTTTTGGCTTAGAGTGTATGGTGCAAATTGGAGGACTAATTGTTAGTCCATTGAAGTGCATTGTGAGACTAACGCTTACCCACTAAGGTGTAAGTGTGAGGACCAAATATTAGTTCCTTGAGCTCATTTGTGGGGACGAACTGTTAGACCGGTGCCGTTAGTCCTTAAAGGAATTAATGCTTGCGGCCGCCCCTTAGTCCCCAAAAGGACGAACCACACAGCCTCTTAACACCCTTTTGCCTTAGAGTGTATGTGTATCTTTCAAAACATGAAGTCTGAGCAGTAAATGTTGTCAATCGATGCACGTTGATTATTGTGTTTTATGGCCCCTACTGGCACCTAATGTTAACTTTTTGATTGATTGATATGTGGGGTTTAACGTCCTAATACTACCTATGATTATGAGAGACGCCGTAGTGGAAGGCTCCGGAAACTTTGACCACCGGGGGTTCTTTAACGTGCACCCAAATCTGAGCACACGGACCTACAGTAATTTCGCCTCCATCGAAAATACAGCCGCCACAGCCAGGATTCCATCCCGCGACCTGCGGGCCAGCAGCCGAATATCTTAGACACCAGACCACCGCGGCGGGGCGAAACATCGACCTATTTAACGTTCTTCATCTTTCCACCGAGTTATGTCGTTAAGCACCTTAAATTGCATGAACATGTGCATCCGGTAAATAGTAAGTAATGTAAAGTGCAGGCATACGTACGAAAGCGCAAAGGTCACAATGTAAAAAATATTTCCGGCATCGATACCGCGGGCGAAACTTTTTGCGAAATTAATATTAATAAATAATTTTCTTTGTTTGTGCTCGTGCGTCCGAAACCATATATATATATATATGTATATTGACGCGCGTGTACTGGTGGACCAAAATCACGATAAAGGTATCAGCCAGAGCTCCACTACCTGGTGTCCGCCAAATCCCTTTATCATCGAACATAGTCTGACGATCGACGTGCGAACGAAGAATACATACCACGCCGGGACGACGCCTCTTTCCATGAAGCCTTATGAAAGGTAGTGACTGCGCAAGACACCTCTTAAAGAACAGACAAAAAAAACTGTACTACTGGTTTAGCATCGGGGTGATTCTCATTAAGAGGGGGCCAAATGACGCGTGTGTACAGGTGGACCAAAACGACGATAAAAAGATTTGGCGGACACCAGGTAGTGGAGCTCTGGCTGATCGAAGATAAAGAAGGCGATCTTGCTGTTCGGCTGCTGAGAGTCGCTGTGCAAACGTTTATCTGCCTTTGGTTCACACTCTACCGCGACAATATATATATGTATATATATATATATATACATATATATATATATATATATATATATATATATATATATATATATATATATATACATAGATATAGATATATATATATATATATATATTTGCTTTATTGGTTGCCCGCATAGCGCCACGAATGGCGACACGCAATCTCAAAACACCTTATTTTTTAGAGTCAGGGTGACCGCCAACATAGCGAACACGAGGAAGGCAAGACGCCACCCAACGGATCTGTACACTGCTAAACGAAAATTACTTTGTATGATTTCCATCATGAGGCAATGCATGAGGGTGCTTCCTCCCCCATGACACCAAAGCACATGTGAAGGCTAGCTGATGAGAGAGCAGAAAAGGGCTGAATGAAAGGGTGGTGAAGGAATAAACTAGAGGAGGCGTTGCTGGGGTAAAGTTTGTAGCGCCATTTCTCCGGCTCCTTGCGAAGCAAAACCTTATCAGGTAGCGAATAGTCCCGGAGTTTGCTCACCTAAACTTTTCTTGCACCACGTTCACAGTGCAAAGATACTTCAGGCAGCGAACTCAGTGACTACCTCTACCAGATAAAGTTCTGCTTCGCAAGGAGCCTGGGCAATGACGGTATAGACTTTGTCTCGACATCTCCCTTCTTCTCAGTGTAGGAAAGCTCCGTGACGTAGGAAAGTAGCGGCGTTCATTTGTCATCGCCACAACGCCCTCGCAGCACTGTCGACCTCTACCCTATCACCCCCTCTTTCACGGCGCCGCCAGGTTGATATTATGCGATAACCCAGTTTTCTCAGATTAGCAAACCATCGCCCACGTGCTGGATGTGCTTAGCGCAATTCGCCAGCAGCCCGACACGATCGCCAGACCGCTCATGCCGAAAACGAGAGCATAATCGGCCCCTTTCCACCAAGCGGCTAGCTTTGCGGCGTTCGCTCACCTAAAGTATTCTTGCCCCATGACCATGATCTGAACAGAAAGATCACGTGAAGAACTGTGAAAAAAAGCAGACATTGCAGCAAAATTTGGCCAGAAGAAGTGCCTATTTTGAAATGTGTAACTGTGCACCTTATTTTTTCGTTTAGTATGTAGTGTTGATGATTCTTTTCATTTTGTTTCTTGTTTGAGGGGAGGGCGGTAAAATTTATTGAAAGTAAAAGAACTCTTTCCTTTGTTCGCGAGAAGTGGCATCCAAGTGACTGTCACCTTGTTTAATTCTGCACATTAAAAGGAAATGCAGAAATTGCTGTTTTTGTTTTTACATGAGGCGAGAAAAAGTGATGCGAACTAGATATTACGCCTAAAGAATAAAAGACGCAGCTAAGCGTCTGGGCTGAATGGCAATTTCTGTTCTTTTTCTGACCAACTACTTCTGCGACGTGCCTCTTTTAAGTTTACTTGAGGTTTCCGGTGTGACGCAACCAAGATGGCGCTTTTTCTACAAACCCTGGGGCACTCAATTTTGGTATCACCTGGATCGGGGCAATAAAATTTTAATCATTAGCATCTGAAACCACATGCCCTTTCGTGTTTTTATTATTAGCTATGCTTTAGATTGTCCCGGCGCACAATCTCGGAGGCTATGGACACACTGACGCACTCACAGGTGCGCGCTCCACCAGAGGTGAAAGCAGCGTATACATAGCTCGCCATTGTTTCGTCACAGTATTCCCGCCTTATGTCTCAGTGGCTAAGGAGGTCATGTCGTATTGCCAGTGATGACAATTTAGGATCTCTGGTCGCGTGCTTGGGAAGAGTTTTCTTCTGTATGAATTTTGTGAATATTGTATATACACGCACATATATACAGAGTGATCCACAAAACTTGAGCCATGAATATGAATGTGAAAGGCACTTAGGAGGCAAATTAAAACAAACGCATACTACTCGCATTGACCTGTTGGTAATTAGGCAGTTTTTTTTATTTCTCCCCATACTAAATAATTGAGAATTCTTAACTATCTAATGTTTAATCATGGGCTGGAAACTCCAAATATGAACACTGAGATGTAAAGCACTTTCAAAAGCACCGACTAAATTGTTTCCTGTATCATACTTCTCGCGCTGTTATATTTTAAAATTCTAAAGACAACCCACAAAACGTGAAAACAACCTGTGTGACGGCCCGATAGCGCACTGCTATAGTGCTGCTCTAGGCCTTCTTCACAACGCAGAAAAAGTAACAGCGCCAGACGTAGCGTACATAAAACAACTTAGTCGGTGGTTTCTGAAAGGGCTCCACATCTCAGTGTTCATTTTTTGGGTTTCCAGTCATATATTTAAAATAGGTAATTAGGTATTATTAATTATTTATTATGAATAGAATTGGAAAAATAGCCTGTGTACCTACAGGATAGTGTGAGTAGTAGGCGTTTGGTTCAATTCACCACTGAAGTTTTTTTCATTTTCAAATTCTTGGCTAAAGTTATGTGGGACTCCCTGTATACGGAACGGCATGACGGTGCTGACAGTGATGTCAAAAACACGCAGAAAGCGTTCAAATAACTTCCATTGGAATAAAATGTCAAAATGAAATTGTTAACGCTATATGTTGCAATGAACGCTTGGAGGGATTCTAACCGAGCATCGCATTGTTTGAGCAGTCCCAATATTTCGTGTGTTTCTAGGAAAACGAGACAGCGGCATTTGACCCTTGCAATGGTATTGTGGAAAACGGCCTCGTCAAAGCTGCGCTGCAAGACCTCAAAATTCCCAATGTCGACTTTGGAGCTTTCATAAGAAAATCGTGGATCCAACACGGAGAAAAAACGGCTGTGGTAAGCACGACGAAATTGGAACGAACCACGTGGCGGGAATTCTACTACACCAAGGAGGTGAACGAGGGAGAAAATATTGTTGATTGATTGTGTTCATAATTCACTGTGAAATGCATAGGTTCTGCACCGCTTTACGCAAGGCAACTTAGTTCAGAGGGAAAGAAGAGCTGACAGAATGCGCTTTAAGTTAAGCAAGATATATGCGAATTATTTAGCAAGATAATGTCATTGCGATTCCGCTATGTTGAAAGGAAGCGTAATACTGTTCTTTTTATGCAATTGTAATTGCCAAATAAAGTCTAAGCCTGAGCCCTTGTCAGTGAGCGGAAGATGGTTCTTGGTTTATCTTAACGTTTTATCTTTTCTGTGAGGACGTATTGCGAAATGAACTGCACACTTTGGGTCCACAAAAGCACAAAAACGTTTCATGATTTATTTAGTACAAGTGAACTGCTAAGAGTATGCGTATATAAATTACTGAGCCTAACAATCATTTTCTTCTTTAAGAAACAGTACAACCTTTAGTAGCTTACGTCTTAAATGTGATACTGCGACATGGAACAATGTACACCAATTATTTCTCCTAATATGCGCACCAACGCATTCGCGAGTACCACCTTCGACATCCGTTTCCAATCCTATATACCAAAAAAAAAGTCGAAGAAGGAAGTATCATTCATTGCACATGGACCTCGCAAGAAAAGACTATCTGCGCTTCTGCGTCCATGGTAGTCACAGTAGCCAACGCTGGTGAGGGTCTCCGGTTTAGTGACCACACATCGCCTTACTTAAAACTTGTATTTGCATCTTTCCGACAGCTTGTTCTATAAGTGATCAGTAAAGAAACTTCTGATGAAACTTTAAGGTGAGACAGGTATTGTCTTTAGAACGTAAACAACGCACTGTCAACAGCAGAAGTATGCGGGATTTTCGCTCCGTGGCCAAGTGACGGATGAATGGAAAAGTGTATCCGGCTTTGCCCCTCATATCGGGTGTTGGCTCACGCCATTTAGCCATAAATATAAGTACTATCACTGTATCTTTAAGGATTGAATTTCACTCACGCCTCGATTGTGTCCACCAATCAGTTAGCCTCCTCCTGGTTATTTTTAGCCGTTAAAAGTCTATTTTGACTTCACTATTCCTAAACCCCATGCTTTGAAAAATTTGGTAGTGCCATTATCGTCGACTGTAGGGTGAAGTCCTTTACAGGGAATTCTCAAATGTTAAACCGTCTCATCCTTCTCTCCACACGCACTACATCACGTGTCTGTGCCTTCGTATTTTGCTCGGTACGTCTCGGTCCATAATACTCTCGTTCCAGGCTCCAAGAGCGCAGAACTATTCCAAGAACTATCGTAGATCTCTTCTCTTGCACTTTCCTGCTTAAACGTTCGGTAGGTCTCCAGTGATGATTTCGTAAGCATTCCCATCTTCCATATGTCTCTCTGTGTTTTTTTTTCACCTTCTTCTTAACCGATGTTTTTTTTACTTGGTATTCAGCTATTGTATAACTGGTGTTCGTATTATGCTGTTGCCTTGCTTTTTGTTTTTTGTTGTCTAAATACAGTTTTCGAGTTTGCTTCCTCCATTTAGTATCAATATTCTTTACGTACAAGTAGATGAAAACTTTCCTAGCCCAACGCTCCTCTCATTTTTCTCAATCGCTCCTCAAATTATATATTACTGCTAGCTTCCCTGCACTCAAACAATGTCCATCGCATGTCAGCCTGTACCCCCTGATTTAAGGTACTCCCGTGTGCTCCCAAAGCAAGTCTACCTAGGCCACGCTGTTTATTTTTAATCTTGTTTGAACGTCTGATTTCACGCACAAGGCCGCACTGCCAAACGTCAAACCCGGTACCGTGACACCTTTTCAAATCTCTTTCACAACGCCATACCTATTGTATTTCCACAGTGCCCTATTTTTCCTTACAGCTGCATTCCTGGTGCCCTTAGTCATTACGCTTCGTGCTCCCTTAGATACTCAGCCCTGTCACGTATGCGCACGCCCAAATATTTGTATTTATTCACTATTTCTAGCGTGACATCTTGTATCTTATGCTCACTGCCTTTGTTATCATTAAAACTCATGGTTGCCAATTTTCCGTGCTGAACTTTTCCCTCATTACCACAGATGTCTATGAATCCTTGCAATCTTCCTTCTTGTCGGCCATTATTACTATATCATCTGCATACATCTATGCTGGTAATGACGGTTCAATGTGTTTTCCTTGCTTGACAAAACAGAGGCTGAAGCCGAGTCGACTCCCTTCTATTTTGGCTACTAGTCTCTGGAGATACAGCATACATAACGAAGGTGACAAGGGACATCCCTGTTGAAGCCCCCATTTCATCTCTATAGGTTCAGATACCCGCTCTTCCCATTTGATAATTACCTTGTTACTTTTATGGATATCCTTTAGAAGATTACTTATTCCATCTTTCACATCTAGTGTGTCCAGTATTCCCCACAAGTCTTCTTGAATCACACTATCGTAAGCCCCCTTGATATTTAAAAATGCCAGTTTCAGGGGCCTGTGTTCTTTTTTCGCTATTTCACTACACTGCATCAATGAAAACAGATTGTCCTCCAACGTTCCTCGTTTACGGAACCCATTTTGAAGTTCTCCCTGCACCCACTCCTTCTCCACCGATGTCTGTAGTCTTTCCTTTACTATCTCTATCACCAGCCTGTAAGCTACTGATGTCACTGTTATAGGACGGTAGTTCTTTATATCTGCTTTGTCCTGCTTCCCTTTCTAGATCATGATCATCCTGCTTAGTTTCCACTTATTGGGAGCTTCACAATTCATTATTGCTTGGGTCGCTATCTCTCTTAATGTCTGCATAGAGTTTGGTCCTAGTTTCTCCATAAGCGTGATTGCGATGACGTGAGGGCCTGTTAATGTGTTTTAGTAACCCTTTTTTCTGCCCTTTCCCACTCTCATTGTCCCAGTGGAGCCACTGAGCTAATTAGTCCATCCTCATCTGGTACGGTGCATGCAACGTTGTCTTGGTGTTTGAATTTTTTGTCATCGTTGTTTTTATATATTCCATTGCCTCCTTCCCTTCTAGTCAGACCCCTTGAACTGTTGTCATAAACCTCCGTTTCATGCTTTTTTTATTACTCACAGAATTGAGATGGTTCCAAAACTTTGCAGCTGCCTTTCTATCTTTTTTGTTTACTTCGTCGTCCATTGAGCCTCTTTTCTTCTGATCTTGACACTTATCAAATCGCATGCTTCCGTTCTGCAGCTCAAAAAGTTATCCCACTTTCTTTTGACATCATCTTCCGGTTCACCCTTCTGTTTAGCATACCTGTGTTCCCTGGAGGCTTCCTGACGTCTTACAATTGGCTCTCTTAACTTCCTCCTCCCACCAGCTCTTGGGTTTGTGTCTGCTTTTCCGAGTTAATTTGATTCGTACCTTAGCAATCTCTAAATAAGACAATCGAGGTAGATTTGTGTACGTCCAGTTTCTTTTAGTATCCTCGTTGATTATTTTCTCTATCTCTTTAGTTGCGATTTCTATTTGCCTTTCTGAATAAATATTACTGTGTGGTTGCTCGTGATGCCACCTTTGCCATTCCATTACTCTTCCAAAGCTCAGCATGATGCGTTTGTGAGCACTACCTAAACTTCTCGACCCATATTCATCCTTATTACCTCAGCTGATCATACATCTTAGGTGACACTACTGAGTAATCTATCGCCAACTGCAGTATTCGCACATCCAATGTTATCGGCCCTTCGCGATTCTCGGTTCTGTTGCAAATGACTAAATCATGCATTTCACGCATATTCATTAGCATTCTGCCTGCTGGGTCAGTATATCCATCCATATCTACTATTTGCGCATTCATATCTCCTAATATAATTACCTCGCACTTTTCTCCTAGTTTGTCAATGTCATTTTCTATACACTGCCCCAATTGTTGGTTTTTCTCTCCGGCTTTGGCCCCTGTACACAAGTATACAAAACCCAGGAGCATATTTTGCCTGGCCATTTTCGCTTTCAGGCACGAATGTTCCTTCCACTCCTGTTTGACCCTTCGCTTGTCTGTACTTTTATGAATGAATACCCCGATACCACCCCCTTTCTGCTGCCTTCTGTTCTATTACATTATTTTCAAGCGTAGTCCAGATTGTTAGATGGTTGTTTCATGTACCTAAGATGTGTTTCTAGAAAACTATATACCATTGGCCTCTCCTCCTTTAGCTATTTAGCTATTTATTTATTTATTCACAGTAACTTACAGAGCCCTCGAGGGGCATTGTGTAAGGGGGGCGGTACAGATAATATGTTAGACAAAAAATATATATATACATATATACCTACATATACATAGGCAAATATTGAATATATTAGGAAATGCAAAATACATACTAGAAAAGTGAGTTACAGTATGTGAAGGTGAAATACAAAAATATTATGACAGTAACTACAACCGAGCATTAGTGCAAAAACATCGGCAACAGTCCTATAAGCACGGATGATTACGAAGATGCAATAGAGCAGTTTTTGGTGCATAAGTATTTTTTAAGAGTATGACAGAACTTTGTGGGGTCAATTCTGCTGCAATATCATCTGGCGAATTATTCCACAAACGAATAGCTCGTGGAAGAGCCGACTGGTTGAAACCGTTAGTATTGCCATACATGCGTGATAAGCTAAAGGTGTTATGTAGTCTGCTCGAAGTTCGATGTGGTAGATTAAGGAGAGCAGATGGCATCATGCTGGTGTGCATGAGTTGGTTAAATAGTGATAAAAGTAAGATGTCGCGGCGAATTTTGAGTGGCTCGAGTGCAAGGTTATGTTTATTCTGTGTTACGCTGGACGGGTAGCTGTGATTACGCGTTATGAATCGACTAGCTCTGTTCTGTATACATTCTAACTTATCTGTGAGGTATTGTTGATATGGTGACCAAATGGAGAATGCGAACTCCAGTTGAGGTCGGATTAGAGCAAGATAAGCCAGTTGGCGTACATCGGAGGGA